ATATCTTTTCATTAAAGGTGATGTTATAAACTTTGACTTCTAAAACGTTTGGCATGCGGCAATCACCTTCGAAGGCAGCTGAATATGGACCTGCTTTCAATAATTTCTATGGAAAAGGACGCTCGTGTTTCAGCGTGAACATCATGATCTAAAAGCAAATTACACACAATGCTGCGATTGTTTAACATTTGCTTGGAAACCCTGCTGGAAATAACATTACACGTTGTCTGCACACACATTAGAATAGGTTTTGCTGTTTGTAGAGTAGCAAATGATTGGATCAAGATATAGCAGACAAGCCTATATCATTGTAAAAGGTCCTAAAATTTACTTAAATTTACACAGTTGTTTAACTACAAACCACCGTCATTTCTGAAGTAAACAGACCGCACCCTCATTTCTGACGGACTTTATAACTGGAAAAACTCATTGGGGTAATAGAGCTTCGTTGCACAATCAGTGGACAGCTGCGTTTACTATGTGAAATCCTGGATAAAAAAATGTTGACCGATCTCTGAACAAAGTGTATGGTATATATTTGTTCTTCAGATACACAACTCAAACTAAACATTAACCCAGTTACCAGGTAAGGCAATAAATTACGTTGAATTTCTTTTTCTATTTTAAACAGATTCACAGAGCACCAAGTAAGTCAAAGGGTGTAATATAAGGGCCTGAAATTTATCTGTAGTAGACGTTTCACTGATTCAAATCGATTTACTTAACCAATAATTGAGAACTAATCCTTAACCGTTTCTTAGCGGTAGACTTATGAGCTTTTGGGCATGAGTTTGTTTCAATCACTGGCTTTACTTTTGATTCAAAATCTTGACTGTGGTAGATAACACCGGAGCCCTCTATATAACAGTTTAAACGGCGGAATGTGCCTGACATCGGTTAACCGTTTAACTCCCGAGATTTCATTAGTAATTCTCTTTATTGTCTGCCATATGGTTCTTATGATGTTAGTTTGGAGAATTTTGTATTGGATCAACTTATAATCCCCTATAATTAATATTTTCTTTATTCTCATCACTTGTCTACTTGATATTGTCTTGATACTGTTAGGAGAAATTCTGTCTTGGTCACTCATGGGAGTTTAAGGGTTAGGTTACAAAATACGATCACGACTCTATTAATAATGAAAAAGCCAAAGGAAATATTTGTTTAAAGGGATGCTTTCCTGCCCATCCAGCGATTCTACATCGCATCATTTTTCTGTGTTGGTTTCTATTGGTCGGTCAGATTCATGCTTAGTAAGCTTCTCTGTCTCGTTTCTTTTTCAGATCACCGAGTGAAGTCGCATAACAAGTGAAAGGTAAGTTTCTGAAAGCGATCAATCAAGCACACGAATGAACAAAACCGTGAACGAAGGAGCGATCGAACGATCAAATGAACAAGGGAAGGAGTTAATGAGAAGAAGACTTCTAGGGAACGAAGGGCCAGTGAAATGATGGACCGAAGGTTGAACGAGCTCCGTGAACTGACATATGCACTAACACACGAACGAATAGGGCAGAACACACGTACCGACGGACGGACAGAATGGTGGTGGAATATATTCATTTTAAGAAATGCCCAATATTCAACTTAAAGTTGAGGAATGAGATGTAAAGAAAAATCATTCGTCAAAAATATTATTTCCGAAATATCATTTTTCTTTTTCGTACTTCACAGATGAAGTCTGTCCTGATTGCTCTCCTCTGTGGCTTACTTTTCGCTGCCAGCTTTGCCTCTAAAAACCAGGCGTGTTACGACGACTGCAACAAAGAACATATCAAATGTGTAGGGGATTGTGTTAACAATGGAAATAACAACTTTAAGTGTCTTTGGGAATGCAGAAACAACTATTATGCCTGTACAGCGGGCTGTTACCAGCCTCCAAGTCCATAACCGACGTAAATCCGAGTCAAGACATTAATTCAAGGCCGATCAACTTCAGTGTGACATGTGAGGCTACTAAATAAAAAGTGAAATGCATGATTTATGGGAGGAGAGTGTTTTTTCTGACGATGTACAAAGATCATACCTTCATATGACGCTTCATTAAGCTTTAAATTGGCGCGTTGCTTCGTGAATTAGTACTATCTTTATTATCACATAAATAAGACAGTCCATTTGTCTATAACAGAAATCAACCAATCACGTTGCTATATCACCATTCTCCGAGGACCATTATTTTCTCATTGTGACCGCCTGGTCACTAAAATATATTCATTGTTCATCAAAGCTTTCGCGGTCCATCCATTTCAGTCGGTAGTTTGTGGCGGGAGTTTCTCGTCGAAGACGCTCTAAGATAAAGATAAGAGAGCGCTAAGTCTGCGAAGCACAAGGCGATTTGAGGAAATTCACTCTCGTAACGTTATATTTTTATGGGTTAAGTTAGGCCCCTGCTACACTTCTTCGTTTTCGATCAGGAATCATACATTTTGATGTGTTTTCGCCGGTCAACCGCACTAAAACGCTCGAAAACGTTGATGAAAACGGAAAATTTGAATATGCATCGTTTGAAAATGGTGACGAAAATGGTGACGAAAATGGTGACGAAAATGGTGACGAAAATGGTGACGAAAATGGTGACGAAAATGGTGACGAAAAAATTAACTGATGTGATTGCTCTCATGCATGCGGAATTCCAAGTCCCAGTGGTTTTATCCTTTACGGCCGTTTTGGTGAGGACAAGTGAAGACGCTGCGAAAGCGCTTGTTTGAGTAGAAATATTTTGCTTCGTTTTGAAAATGAAAATGGAGACTTTTTAAAACGTATTAGTGTGGTCAGGGCCTTAGATAGACTCCTCTGTATAGGAAATATACCCGAGAAAAAGTTGGGCTGACTCGAGATCAGGTCAGGTTTCGCTATGGTTATCTTTAGAATTGCCTTGGAGGGGGAAGGGGGGTCTTAAGGGTCATGTGATCAAAATCGTTTTTTCCACTAGGGCGCTTTGACGAATATTGAAATCCGATTGGTTCATGGAGCAGGCAAGATTTTCCTATCCTGCCCATGGACAACGGTAACGTTTGGCCGGCCGAATCATCTTGTTGATCTATTTTTGTACAGAAGCTGGTAACAATCGTCAATATTTTGCTGTAGAATAATCTACGCAGACTTAACTCTGTTCACTTTTAAATGGCAAGGAACGTCACCGTAAGTAATTTCAAATGCGAAATTCTAAGTTGTGATAATTTATTTACTCTAACGGCGCGCGTAAATCTCGTCTTTCTTCAACCGCGAAACTGAAATCAAATGAGGTAGTTTCTCCAGACACGAGGGGATTTAACGCGGATTTCACTCATTAAATTTCTTCGGTTTCTGCCTTACAAGGTAGGTAGAAGTGTCGGGATTAAACCTACTCACACAATCGCACTGGCACAACTCAAAACCTTACTTAAATGTTTACACCGAACAAGTTACTTTGGAGAATTACAGATTGCATTAAATGAAAGTATAACATTCGTCAATTGAAATTTGCATCAATTTCTCGTTAAGTTACTTTTTGAGAAGGATTGGGAAGTTATGAACGGTTTTATTTTATAGGTTTCATGTCAAGTTTAACCCATTGGAAATAAATTTTTTTATGTGCAACGTAAGAGATTTGAGAGAGAGAGGGAAACTGAAAATATATAAGTTATCTCCTGTATTGGGGTCGATCCGTACAGTGAAAAATTGTGACCTCTGGCAGCATTTTAAAGAAATCCGTCTTAGTTTCTCTATCATACGGACTTCCCAACCGGAAAATAAGAAACATTTTTTTCAGGGTGGCCCATTCAGGGAGCTTACAAAGCTTCCGCTCAGCTTTTAACAGAATAAGTATTTAAACGAAACTACATGAATATTCTAGACCAACTATACCATAGAATAACACGTACTCTTAAAAAAAAAACATTTACTTCAGAAATAATACATTCAACAAGAGATAACCGGAAAAAGATTATATATTTTGAAGTACTTGAAATTATTGAAGAATAAAGCTTCATAGTAACTTAAGTTTGAAGAACAAGCAGGAGCAAAAAGTTTCTCCGACACGTCGAACAACTGCAAACGTCTTTATATATTGAATACAAAAAAGTAGCAGTAGATTAGTGAGAAGTAATCAGTCACTCCAGTCGATTTCTGGTGATTAATAAACATGGAAATATAGAGTTTTACGTATCCTGACTTACGCACCTGCGCGTGTAGGTAAGGACGTTACGAGAGATGAGTGAAGGCTCAGTTCTAATATGACGGATAACAAACGACTGTAAATATGAATTCAAATTAGTAGAAGCAGCTCTAACCAAATTGTAACCACAAAGGTACATCGTCTTCTCATGAGATGAATAATTCATCTTTCTTTTTCTCTCCGTAGTTTCAGTCGATCAGGTAGCGTTACCTGTATACCTATAGATCGAAACAAAATGCCTCAAGGCAAAAGAAACCAAAAATTTTTTATATTTATGACGACCAAACGATGAAATAAATACACAGCTGTGAAGTTCTGCGGCGTTTTTAAAAACAGCCCTGTTTCTTGTCTCTACGGGAGGTAAATTTTCAAGACAAAGTCGAGTCGGTTTTTCATGCTAGATCAAAAAAGGAATTAATCAGTTTTTTGTTTTCAATTTAGTTTCTGCTTTCATTAGTTTCTATTCCTGTTTTTCGGTTTTGATGAAAATATCGTTTTCCGGTTGGAACATATCTGGGTGAAATTGCACGGGTATTATCATTTAAATGAAGCGTGGGCTTCCATCAATTTACAGTGCAATGGATGAAGGAATAGAAAAACTTGATAACATAAAAAAATATTTTAGCGATGATGCTTTACTGCCTGCTGATTAAAAATTGCTTTGGAATTTTTAATTTTAATTTTTTTGTATTTTTAGATTACCATTGAATTTATTAGGATCGATCACCACAGGTTAAATAAACAGAATTATGTTTTCGTCGCCTTTGAAAATTAATAAATAATTTTCAATGAGCTTGGTATTGTGCTAGAGCAGGTGTATAAAAGGTACTCAACACCTAAACTGTTTTCTCAGTTAATCAACAATTCAGTGACATTTCAGTCCTCAGTCAGAACGAATTGGAACACGATTGAATTTTTGAACGCACTGCTGAAAGACTCATTACGGTAAGTCTCATAGAAAAAGATGAATTGAGTAGTTACAGCTCATAGATACCTGTGTGCTGCTGTTGTAGGCAATTGAGTGACTTACGTTTCGAGTGATCGAGAAAGTTATATCTAATATTTAAGTCCTGGGTCCACTTGTATAAAGGTCGGAAAACGTTATCTAACTGATAAGTGATAGCAGAATGTATAGCGTTATCCACCGGATAGAGATTTATCCAGCAGAAAACGTTATCCAACCTTCGAAAAACCGGGGGGTGGACATTATTATTTTTCTAAGACAGATTCGTTATCCTTGAGAACCTGCCTTAGTCAGGACCCTCGAAACGTTTACGATATTTCCCAAAATTCGCCACGGCGGTTTATCTGCCATTAAAGAATTCATGTTTACAAAAAAACGTTCACAGAGTTTCCCAAAATTCGCCACGGTGGTTAATTTGCCACTATCGAATTCATGTTTACAAAAAAAACATTTACAGAGTTTCCCAAAATTCGCCACAGCGCTTTATTTGCCTTTATCGAATTCCTGTTTACAAACAGAGTTTCCCAAAATTCGCCACGGCGGTTTATTTGCCATTATCGAATTTATGTTGAAATTTAGAAACCGAGCATTTTAGAATAAGATGTTTACGCTAAGATTACACAACTGGAGTGGAAATCGTCGCGGATTCGTGACGAATCCTGTACGTTTAAGCACAATTTTAGCTTGCCATAAAACGTTTAGGCAAAGCTAAAAAGCTTACAATATCGAAATGCAAAAATGTTATACAGTCGCTGTGATATCGAAATCAGTAATACTCTTCAACAAAAGATCACATCGTATTTTGATATTACTCTGAAATCAATGGACATTATAAAAATTTGCTCTTTTTAATGGTGAAAAGTTAAGGAGACATCTTCGCGAGGGCTACTGCAAGTAACTGGGTAGCAGAACGGCTCACGTGCAGTGTAAAATGCACCAGCGATGTCACCAATTGTATCGTTATTAAAAACGATCTGTAGGTCTATGGAGTCTTGGGGTCTTTCAGGCCTCTGTTAGGGGGAAAAATTATGTGTTTTAGTTTGGACAAATTTTTAGTATTTTATGGCCGCGCAGTTCAAGTCTATTTTTCCGGTTTCGACCTAGTTCCTGTGTTCTATTACTTTCACTCGACCGGTTATGCGGGAAAGGATGATGAACGGGTTTTTCTTTTCAAATTGTTGCTATTATTGTAAAATTATAACCAGAGCAATTGCTGGTTTTCACGTGACGTCACTAAATTTCAGACTTCAGGGCCGGGTTGTTCAAAGCTGGGTTAAGATAACCCAGGGTTAGTGTGAAATACGATTTTAGATCTAAAAGCTTTACAAGAAAATTCAGTCGAATTCATGACTACTTGATTCAGAAATTTTTCCCAAAAACTATTGATCCTCGAACAACTGGGCCCAGAACCAGAGATTTTACTTTCATGATGTATTAGAGCAGCTAAAAACTAATATTCAGACAAATTTTCACTCCAAATGGGTTCTTGGTTTAGTGATAGACTACTCTTGAATTTCTAAGCTTTTGCGTGACGTGGCCTTTACATGACGAGCGAGAGAGCTGTTATGTTGGTTTAAAAGGTGACTTATTTAGGGAAATTCAGCTATCTGAACAGTTCTTGTATTAGAATAAAGTATTATTGTTACGTTTATGAGTTCTTAGAGAGATGAATTCACGCTTTTGTAGCAAAACTCAGTGACAGATGTTTCTGCTGGTTTCCGGCCGCCATGTTGGTGCCCATCTGGGTGGGCACCAGCATGGCGGCTCCATACAAATCTCTATAAATTTGGGAAAAACGTTTCTCCTCATATCTTCCGCAAGAAAAATTGCTGTGACATGAATCTTGGCGAGAGTCTTTACATATCTAGCTTCTTTCTATTTCCAGATTCTAGACTAAATCGATTGAACGGTTTTTATTTTTTATTTTGATCTATTTTGAATGGCGTGACACTGAAAACCAGCAATTGAATCGATAATGTATATCATAAAATATTATATTTAGGGTTTTCATGGTTTTTGGGGCAAATATCTTCATATGTATTCGTGTACTTTCGCATTTAAAATATTGGGTTTATTGGGGTTTTCTTTCTAGTAAGTTAAATAAAATGTATAAAAACCACAGTAGCTTTTGGAATAGATTTTTCAGTGTTACTCGCTTCATCATATGCACCTACTTGTCAGCACTTTTGTTATTTATTACATGGTTTTTTCAGGTAAATTTAAGTGTTAATGGTCTTTCTGGAAAAAATGGTTTTCATGGTAGTTGGCAGCTGAGTTTATACTCGTAACTTTGATTTCTTTTCATACGATAGTTTCCACACCAACCTTGGCATAGATAAGCAGAAACTTTTAATTGCTTTTCCGTTTTTATTTCCTAAGCTGCTCTGCTGCAATTAAAATAGGTATTATTTTCTATATCAAAGCTGTGAATTCGCACCTAAGTTTCCTATTTTCTCGGCCTCGAGTTTATTGTATCCGTCTTTTCAATTTTGAGATTATTTTCGTCGTAGAAAACAGATGGAATATCTGAGTAATTTTCGTTTATCTTCAAAGAGACCTTTTCCGCTCCTTTGTGTCCTTATTCAAATATTGCGATCTGTGTAACAATAGCACCTCACACCAGTTAGTTCTTAAGCAAGTACCTTGTGCAGTTTTGGTGATTACAGTTTTAGTTTTGACTCTAGCATGTTGTGTGTTAGAGGGCTCTGCGAATAAAAGTATACTGTGGAACCAAAACGCTGTCTCCTCCTTGACGTCCGTACAAGCTCACACGAAGTAGATCGCCGTGTGCCAGGAAATCGTGACAAGTTTCCGTTCTCGCAAGCCGAGTGGTCTCTACCGAGCTATTTTCCCCCGTTTGTACGTTCCCGCGAAAGTTCAGTTTAGAGCGAGCGAAAACTTATCGTCACACCTCAGGGTCTCTCAGGGGTCGACAGGTCTGGTTCTCTGGGCCTTTGGATCTTTAGGTCTGTAGTTCCTAAGGCATTAAGGTTTTTAGGTCTGTGGGTCTTAAAGTCTCTTGGTATCTGAGTCTTTGGGTCTCCAAATCTCCGGGTCTTTGGGTCTCTGTGTCTATGGTTTTATAGGTCTTCTAGTGGTTTCTGGGTCTCTCGGTCTCTGTGTCTCTCTTCCTGGTCTAGTTTGTGGACAATAATGTTTTGATCCCCTCCAAAAAGTTTGACGTTTGCGAAACGCTTCATCAGCTCTACAAGCTGTTCAGTCACGTCATTGATTTTGTTAATCATCAAATGTATTTAATCATGCAGAAAAGGTTTGTATAACCACCCAATGTTGCTTTGATCATAGCAGTAATGCAATCTTGTGTCATTTGCTCTTTAGAAAAAGGATACAAAAACAGAAAAGAACGGGGGGCCGAAACACGGCTATATTATACAACTTGAATTTTGAACGGTATTTTATGCCATACTCAAGACTTAAAGACCTAAAGCGACCCAAAGACCCCGGGAACTAGAGACCTAAAGACCCTGAAACGTTAAAAACCCTGAGGCCCGAAAGACTTCATGGATATAGGGTAACTTACTGTTCAAAATTCTGTCAGGGTATATTCCCTATCGAAGAATCAATTTCCATGTCGGAAGTCAGTTAACAGGGTCCGTTATTGTTGGTCTTTTTCTGACTTCCCCATTTTCTGCTATTTCCCGTGTCTTTTTTTTTTCCCATGTTAGAATTTTCCGACTGAAAGCTGTATTCAAAATTAGAAATAATCGACCTTGAGCTCCTGGTGAGTTCTCCTTGACCTTTTATCGGGCATTAAAAGTACGATTTGGCGGCCAAAGAGTGTTCCATTAAGCGCGCGGTCAAAACGATCGTGTTGAGAGATCGAGAAAAAATGATGGACGTATTGCGTGGCCGGAGCGCCAAATGATGTTAGCTACAAGAATCATACACATATACCAGTTATTTCTATATACTACTTTCCAAAAGATGAAGTTTTATAGCCAAAATGGACGCGTTTCGATCGTCGACACCGAGAAGATTTTAATCTTCAATATCGTCGGCCTTATGGGTTGTACTAAAATAGAGAACGCTGGAATGCCGGAACGCCGTAATACTGAAACCCGGAACACAAAATTACTAAAACTCGGAACGCATTTTAGCCAAAAATAAATAAAATAAATAAGTGAATGAATTAATAAATTAAAACCTGTATTTCTAAAACACATAACATACTTCAATTCAAAAAGGAAAATTCCCTCAGTATCCTCACTCACCCACAACCCCGCCTGCCAAAACAAAAAACCTGATTATCTATGATTGTTACGAACGTTTTGCAGTGATATTTATCTTTAACTGATGATGATAATGTGTTTTAAGAAACCATCTAATATTTTGTGTTGATCCTTTGTTCCCGGGTGGCAAAGAGTAATTATGATAATGTATTCATCAAAGTCACATGTAGTGGTACCGTGTTTGGAAAATGGACGCTTCTCCGAGGTAAGTGTTGTTACTTTCTGTATTTAAGACTCGTTTCTTTTCGTTTATTACGTTTAAGATATACAAAGTATTAAATATCAGCTAAGAAATCATTGTTTTGTGTTAAGCAGCAGTCTTAAAAGCTAGGAAAAAAAGAGGTAAGCACTTGAGTTTTGGAATGTTTCGATTCAGTGTCTCATCGATTCTTCGAATACTACTGTGTTAGAGTTTTACCCTATTCACCACTACGACCACTATACGTTTTATTTGATGATATCAGCGAATGTTGGTCAGTTATGATTATGTGGCGTGCAGTTGATCTTTGACACGAAGACCGTATTGCGTATTGCATAATGATCAACTTTTCCACAGTAAAATAAGCCGGCGAGCACAGTCAGCGGTCAAACGCAAGAATCCAACGCCTAGTGTTGGTAATCGGGTAGAACATTTTCTTGGGATCCTAACATCCGAGTTTCGAGTTTTTTATTTATATTTGTTATTTTTAAATTTATTTGTTTTTCATGCGTTCCGGGTTTTTGGTAATTTTGTGTTCCGGGTTTTAGTATTCCAGCGTTCCGGCATTCCAGTGTTCATATTTTAGTACAACCCGGCCTTATGCCCCGTTCCGGCTTCGAAGACGGCTGTTACGAACGCAAACCACTATTCAAATCAGGGGAAGATAACCTTATATGAATTCACCTAAAAAGAATGCTGATTAAGGGGCCTGTTCCCACACCGTACACGATCGTTTCACATTATTTTCGGCTGGCATTTCGCAAGCGAAGAATGGTGAGCTCCTTACTGTTGTTATTTCACGCGCTTGAGTTGTACTCATACTCCTTGTCTTTCCACACGACTACATTTTCGCTTTCTTACCGTATGAAAATCCTAAAGATTGTAGTTCCCATCGCATTTCAATAACGGAAATACATCATTTGTAATAAAGTTCAAGCCCTTTACTAAGCTGACCGATATCCTGTTGCGTGAACAGGCCGAAACCTCTGGCGCATAAAGGCGAATCCCATCGCTTTGACGAAGGGCTAATGCACGAAACGTCAGCTTTTAAACTCTTATGGTGAGCAATTTAAGTTATCAACTCAGTTGATATTATTAAATTAGCTAATATTCTCAATTGCCGAGTCTGCTACTTGCAGAGTACTCTCCTACCCAGACTTCTCACGGTATTAAGGTGGATTTGTATCTACAGTACTCTGAAACTATTTAAAAACTCTCCAGAGTTGATCAACATTTATATGCTGATTTCAGTAATAAAAAATATATATGAATGGAGCGCACCAAACTCGGTTTTGAATCACAGGAGTCGTTACTCAGAAGAGCCGATCAAATTGACATATCTGAGTAAACACGGAGAAAATTTGGGCTTTTATCCAATTAATTTTCAGACCTCGTAATTTCGATAATAACGCTTTTATTCTTACCAAAGTTTTGTTTCTTCCTTTTAGCGTGTCAATCGCCCGGTCAAGCCTCAAATATATGCGGTACAGGATGAAATAGCAGTAATACCGTAGGTAGGTTTTGTTATGTTGTGTAAATACCCGTCAATCAAACGCGCAGGACTGTAGAGAGAAGATTGAAAAGATTCAAAGAGAAGAGTAAAACAAGAGGTCATTAGTTCGATAACAGAGCAGTGGATGATAAGCATTTTCTAACTTTCTTAAATCGGAAAACAAGACTTTGAGGCATATTTTGAATCAGTTCGACTCTTCAACTGAAGAATTGACTTGACAGTAATCAACTGTAAAGCGGAGTCAGTATTGATGCCATCGATATATGAATAATCAGCTCCAAATGTCATTCAACGCAAGATAGTTTGAAGGGAGCTGATTGCGATTCAAGAGGTCGATAGATCGCCATCGCTCCTTACTAGTACACAAGATAAGGCATTGTCCTCTGGTGTACGTAAACAAATTTGTCTCTGTTTACTTTTGGCAACAACTTTTGCCTCAACCAGTTAGATGGAACTTGCAAGGCGCGCCGTAACGTTGGTAAGAAGCTTTCGACGATTACCGTCATTAGCGATTCGTACCTTGAGAAAGTGTCTACCACTTGTTCCTATTTGTCTGTTGCTTCTGATAGTCTTGAGTTTATGGATGACACTGAACGAGATCAACCGAAAGGTGACTCTACTGGCTTCGTCTTCTGTTCTCAGCGAGCCTGAAACGAACGCTGTTAACTTCCTAGACCAAGGCTTCTATTCACAACATCAAATTCTTCGCACAAAATTACGAACTACTGCCACTTGTCCACCAAAATCGATTATTCTCCTTATTTTGGTATCGTCGAATGTCGGGAATTTTGAAAGGCGCCAGTTAATACGGAAAACTTGGGGCGCTGATCACTCAATCGAAAGCAAATGGAAAACAGTTTTCCTAATGGGAAAGAACAACATTGAGAGAGAAATGGAAAACGCTACGGCTGAGGCCAGAGTATTCGGCGACATCATACAAAGCGATTACCAAGAACACTTTTGGAACATGAGTTACAAAGTTGCGATGGGATTCGAATGGGCGGTCAAATATTGCAATTTTTATTTCATTCTTAAAGCAGATGACGATGTATTTGTAAATACTCTCGGTCTGGTGAATTTTCTAAGTAAACATACAACGCCCATGAGTAAATTATACACTGGTAATATCATGGTTGGCAGTCCTGTTTTGAGAAATGGAAGATATGGTGTTACTCCCGAGGAATACAATGAAACCGTTTATAAGCCATATTGTAGCGGAGGAGGTTATATTTTGTCACGCGACGTGGTGGAAAAGTTCTTGTGGTATTTTGACGTTTTGAGGCCTCTTAAAATCGACGATGCGTACATCGGAATATTAGCAGCAAAAGCCGGAGTTAAAGTAACTCATAATGAACACTTTCGCATGTACGAGAACAAATGTGAATACAGAGAAACTACTTTGGTGCAGCATCCAGCGCGAGGAGACTGCGTGATAATGCTTTACCACAGAATGATAGGCTGGAAAAGCAAGATGAAACAAAATGAATAGGGCGACAGATAGGCCAACTGTGCTCTTCGGTTTCCTCAAACGTTCAAAGGCAGATAATAACACTTCCGATCTCTGAGTTGAAAAAAAATGTTTCGTCATGACAAAAGGAAAAACATAAGAATTTGTTCATGCTTAGTGTGCGTATATCGAGTCAAGGATGCACGCGGGAAGTTTGGAACAGGAAAAGAAAAAAAGAGTAGTTTGAGCGACTCCAGCTTCTTTAGTGCTCTCCAAACTTCCCAAGTGCATCCATAACTCGATATATGCACTGCTAAAAGCATGAGCAAATTCTTTTATAACAATGCGACAACAAGGATCTCGCGAAGAAGTATTTTGCTGTGATAGAGTGCAAAATTCTCACAACACACCAAAAAAGTAAACAAACGACCCTATTGGCTGGTCAGAAACACGCGACATTTTTGTATTCTGGTTTGAGCGAGAACATTTGATCCAGTCAACCGATAACTGTGAATGAAATGCTCGAAATCTACGGGGAAAATAGAGAAAATCAAAGCCAAATGAACGCAAGTGTCACTAAAAAATGTTTAAAAAGTCAAAGACCCGAAGTTATCAAGGGTTTTGATTGTTCAAAATAATGTTTACGCCGCTGTGCACGGTGTAATTGGAGAAGACAGACTGCACGAAGCTTGCAGTTTTCTCCTGTTCCCAGTAAATGTCTTTCGGCCAAAATTTGCCGCAGCTGAGCTTCCGACAAATTTGCGAAACGTGCAACTTGCGTTTTTTTCGGCTTTATTTTTGTTGCGTGTTGGATCAGGACCTAAAAGGTCAATGCTGACGTATTTGTAATGTAGCAATCAGACGTGTTAACATGTAATTTTAGTCTAATTTGCATTTTGTGGCACGCAACAAAGTTGGAAGAGCTTTGCTAGAAAACCAGGGAATTTGACTAAAAGACAGAATTATATTGTATGAAGATGCTTTTCCATCTTAAATGTCACGAGCGAGAACAAAGAGCCACAGACCTTTGGAATCCGTACTCCGATGTAAACTCAATCTCTGGGCCATCTAAAATTACGCTTCGACAGTTTTCGAAATAATTCAGCGTGGTGTTGTTTAGTTTGATGTAGAAAAGGCTCAACTCAACTCAGCAAATATGTTAGTCTTCAAGTGATGGGCTCCTGTCCTTTTAACCCATTGCGAAAAGACCGGCAGTCATTATTTATCGTCTACGGGGATAAGTAGACAACCTCGCGAGTTCCTCAAGGTTATTGGGTTTAAGAATTTAAGCAGCTGAGCTCCGTGCAGTTATCAGAGAACTTGACCGTTTCCCTCCCAAGATCTCAGAATGAATTTTTTTTTAGAATTTTGCTTATATCAGACGATATCCTTATTGGATATTTATAACTTATTTCACGGTTGGTGAGCGCGTACAATTTTTGTGTTTTTTTTTTAATTAAAAAAAAAACATTTATGTTAGCGTACAGAGAATGGTATGTTGCACGCACCAATCAGATCGTTTAGGGTATGTATCTCGCTCCGATCAAAGTGTCGTTTTCGTTCTTTGGTTTGAGAGGTGTTCAAATGGGGGATTCGGAGAGAGCGGTTTGTAAAATGGAATCAACTTTTAGAATGAGAAATGTTGGCTTTTCTTTGTTTTTAACGTGTATTTCATCGCGCTTTATGAGAAATGCGATACTACTGGACAGATGAAAGATATCAGAGCAACTCATGCTGTGTAAATGGTGGAGTTTTGTGCACTGTAACACGATCATCGTTATTGTTCCTTCACGACGAGAGTGTGTGGAAAAATTGTGAATCAAATATTGCTTGAGATGTTGCTGAATTGCACCAAACATTTTGATTCGAGCAGTTCTTTAACGGCAAGCTGTGTTGCAAGATTCATGATTTGTTGAGTGTGCCGATTATATTTTTCTGGATTGGTTTGCTTGGTGCTATCTCCAGGTGAATGTCTGATTGAAATTAACTATGGACGATTTTGTGTATGTTTTCGAGGACTGGAGAAAGTGATCTTGTGGAGTCGTTTGTGTTTGGCCAAGGACGATTTCAGATACCATCGTTAGTATGCTTATTTGATTTTGTTATCCGGAATGAATGATTTACGGAGGTAAGTTAATATGATGTGATCTGCTAACGTCGAAAGTATATCAAGTCGAAGGAACAGTTTTGGTCTCGATCCGCGTTTTTGTCAACAAAATAAACAAATACCACTTAAAAAGATGATAATACGGACCACGGACAAAGCTGTCCATTGTTTCTTGAATATTGCGCGTGTGAAGTAAAGAGTGACATCTCATTTACATCTACATCTACTTTTATTACGTTGGTAAAATCTTTACAGACATCACACCAACCAACTCGCACGCAAAGTGAGAAGACTATATGAAGGCTTGAAATTATATTACGATCGATTTTCATCAAGAAATGGGCTAGGAATATTCCACAATAGTGCAAATACTCGTGAAAGCTGATCGCGGTAAAGCGATTGCGTTACGCTAGGCAAGTTGTAAGATGATATGTTATCAGAAGCCAGACGAAAAAACTCTTTAGATTCTCAGTCTGTATTTTGTACCCAGTCTGCAGTCTGCAGTCTACATTTTGTACCTAGTCTACGTTTTGTATCCGGTCTGCTGTCTACACTTTGTACTGACAGGTATCCGTGGCACCAATACAGTTTATTTTTGATTACAGTTATTCGCACAACACACCCAATCTACCACAAAATACCCTGTGTGTGATTTAATTCGACATTTTCGTTCTTATCCGCGTTAATACTCTTCTTTCCTTTTGTAAGAAGTTAGACATCACTTACAATGTTTAAAGTAATCCACCCACCCCCCAAAAAATAACTCTGGCATGCATAGCATGCCTTTGTTTGTTTCCCAGTGGAAATGTATGTTTTTTGTCATTATTTTCTCTATCCTGGAACTGAATGCATAATGTAGTATGGGGCTGTGCGGAAGTTTTACCCTAATTTATTATATACATATCATAAGCGAACAGAGCTCAAAGATAAACATCTTTATTTTCTTTCAAAAGAAAACGCGCGGTCAAGCCGCCTCACAGTTCAAGAGTTGCAATGAAATGGCTTCCTTGTAAAATGCTTTACATTTAAATTATCAAGCAAAAATTTAAATTAAACGAACCGTTATAGAGAACTCGCTGAGAAACTTGTTCAACTCTTTAGGAGTCAAAACGTCCATTTGTCTCGTCTCGCCTTTCAAAACAAGAAATTCGTGGAACAGAGCAACATCGTGTTTGGTCTTTTTGTTGATGTTTTCATTTTCCTGTCCGTCTGTTAACTCTTCTAGTGATGAATCAAGGCTCTGAAAACGGTTAGTCTGATCTGAAGTCATCTTTCTAAAGAAAAATGGGCCTAAGCACTTGGAAATGTGCTATTTGTCAGTCACGAGGAGCGGCGAGCGAGTGAGCGACACGGTTTTGTTCACTTGTGAAAATAATGATAGAGCCAATCAGAGCGTCGATACGTCGTTTTTCACTGGTGGAAAAAATCGTACGACCAATCAGCTGGCTTCTCTAGTGCAAAGAGACTATTTACATCTCGATGCTTTTTGGCGCGTAAATCTCGGTACGTATATAATGATTTTCGTTATTTTCATTACCGATCTGCCTGATAGTGTTTTGATATTATAGGGAGAAATTATTTCTTGGTCATTTTTGGGAGTTAAAGGGTTAAGTATTGACATGTTTGAGACGCGCACAGTGACCGGAAGGAGAGTGGAATTGTGGCATTAACAAATTGGCTGGAATGTAATTATTTAAGCTTCAGGGAAAAGGACTCTGAATTTGGCGGGAACGTTAAAAAGGAAGTGGTCTTCAAAGGCATCCGGTCGTTTCGTACCCTTGGTTGTCTCAAACCCAAATGCAGCCGGTTCGTACCTAAGTTTAAGTCGGCTCGTACCCAAGATTAAATCGGTTCGCACCCAATCCGCTGATCGATTCGAGCCCAAACTGCTGACGGATTTGTATATTTATTCGAAATACCTCACGCACGAGCGCGTGAACAGATGTTAAGCGTCGCACACGAGAAGTTAGCAGAGACAAGCGATTAAGATACAAGCAAAAACTCTGTTGTGTACACTTAACAAAAACAAGTGAATTGTCGCCTAGCGCAATGTAAGTGTGATGTTTTCAAAAGAAAAGTCTATTCATACTTGTGACATTTTTAAAATGACAGCTCTTGTTAGTGTGATATTTTTTTCCAACCGTTAACATGGAAAACACACTATTAATTTGAGTACGAAACGACCGAGCTGAGAACGAAACGACCGGTAACTTCTTCAAATGAGTAAAATTTTAGACAGCGAGCGCCGCCATTTTTGCGCCTTGTCTTTGACACAACAGACTCCGATAACAACCAGGTTGTTCTCGAACCTTATCAATAAGAATCTAAGTCCATGCTTAAAGTTGAAATAGAAAAGCCGATTACTAAGACTGTAGTATTCTACTTCCCGCTATTTACATTTGAGTCGAATTATAAACGTAATACGCATGCGGCCAGGTTACTCGATCAGTTATGTTTAAAAATGGTGACGTCCTTGTCCTCGTGACGTTCGCAACGAGCGAGGTTCAAGTGCGGCTTCTAAGATAAAAGAAGTGGCGCACGGTCCTTTGACGAATTTTTAGCGCATTACAAGACTATTTTCGAACGGTTAGGTTACTCTTCCCTTTTCAGTCTTAAAACGCGATCAGAGACATAGTTTTACATTTACTGTCTTTTAACAGCTTCAAAGGTGTTGATAAAATCATTTCTCCCAGATCATACTAGCTTATTCTGCTTTAAAAAGTGTTTCATTTTTGACGACGACTATCTGTGACAAGAGTTGAAATTATTGACGGAACTTTAGGGGCACAACATCAGTTTATCTAGACGCGCCCCCCTCCTCTCTTTCCTATATACAATGTGACTTAATTTAAGTGGTGTAATTTTGTCTTGAAAGTCTTCTTTCCTTGAAAAAATTTCATAGTTTTTACTTAATTTTTCACCTTGTATCTAATTCTGGATATCACTTGCAAAGGTTTGGAGAAAAATAAACAAAAAAAATTTATGCGAAATGTTAAAAAAAGTGCGCGAGGTGTTGCCTATGCCCGTAGCCTGGGATTTCGGTTGGAGTCAAGCAACGTCAGGTATCTCACAATAACTAACTAAAAAGAGACAAAGACTGGTATAAAATTGGAAGTTGAGAAATCTAAAGAAGAAATTCTGAGCCCCTTTCACGTTCTTGCTGCCATTCAGAAACGTCACTCAAAATATCATATTCTATGTAAACACATTTGCCATGTCCTCTTAAGCTTGGTCAAAAATTAATGTATTTGACACATGGTCGAGAACCTGTTTGTTTGCATCTTATGGAACGCTGAAGTTCGTTTTCAGACAGAGATGAGATATATCAGCAGGAAAAAGAACAAAATTTATATCAGAAATTCCAAATTTCTGATCGGCAGGGGCAGTTCTAGCGAACACATTTTATATCTTGAGATGTCATTCATGTACTCACCAATCACATGCAACCACAAAGAATCGTGGTAAACAAACCACTGGTCTCTGGTCAGTCAATAAAGCATTAGGTGCTTTTACCCATTGGATCACCCGTTAATAGGGTCTGATGGGTAATCAGCAAATTCTATGCCATTTTAGTTGGAAAGTAAATTTTAGAGTTTCTTTTGGAATTAGTTCGATTCAATAACAGAGTAGCGACTAGGAGAAATCAACTTTATAGTAATCAACTGAGCACGCGGGTTATTGCACTTCGATGGAACTTACAGGGTGTGCGGGGACGTTGTTTAGAGGCTTAAAACGATTATCTTCATTGGCGATTCGTACCTTGAGGAAGTGTATTCCTCTTGTCCTCATTTGCCTGTTGCTTCTGGTAGTCTGGACCTTATGGATGACACTGAACAATATCAACGATAAGGTGATTCTTATGGCTTCGTCTTCAGTGTACAGCGAGCCTGAAACAACTGCCTCAAAAAGGGAAGAGACAATTAACTCATTAGACCAAGAGGTCTATTCTCAAAATCAAAATCTTCGCACAAAATTGCTTACCAACGCGACCTGTCCACTGGACCCTCTACTTTTTCTTATTTTGGTGTCGTCGAATGTCGGGAATTTTGATAGGCGTCAGCTGATACGGAAAACTTGGGGTACTGATCACTCGATCGAAACCAAATGGAAAACAGTTTTTCTTTTAGGGAAGAACAACAATGAAAGAGTAATGGAAAACGCTACCGTAGAATCCGGAGTATACGGCGATATCGTGCAAGGAGATTATCAAGAACACTTTTGGAACATGAGTTACAAAGTTGCGATGGGATTCGAATGGGCGGTCAAATATTGCACCTTTTATTACGTTCTTAAAGCAGATGACGATGTATTTGTGAATACTCTCGGTCTGGTGGATTTTCTAATCAAACAAACAACGCCAATGAGTAAATTATACACCGGTCATATCATGGTCGGCAGTCCTGTTTTGAGAAATGGAAGATATGGAGTTACTCTCGAAGAATATAACGAAACCCTTTATAAGCCATACTGTAGCGGAGGAGGTTATATCTTATCCCGCGACGTGGTGGAAACGTTTTCATCGTATTATGACGTGTTAAAGCCTCTTAAAATTGACGATGCATACATTGGTATACTGGCAGAAAAAGCTGGAATTAAAGTGATTCATAATAAAGAGTTTCGTATGTACGCAGACAAATGTGAATACAGGGAAGCTACTTTAGTGCAGCATCCAGCGCGAGGAGACTGCGCGTTAATGCTTTACCACAGAATGATAAGCTGGAAAAGCAAGATGTACCGAAATGGCTAGGGCGATCCATTGACTATCTTTTTGTCAATGCTCTATGGTAATAATTGAAAAAATGTCTTCAAGACCATACGATTTTCTTTACATGTTAAATGCAATCAAGTCGTAATGATAAAAAGTATACTTTCTCTGTCCATGTTGAATTTTGTAGCATGGAATAAAAAGCAGAGCAAAGTGTGGATTCTCCTGGACAATTTTCAGTCTTCAAGAGGTAATCAACTGTTGATAAGTTTATAATGTCTTACTGTCGTCGATTGTTTGGGCTCCCGTGGGAAGCTACTTGATTGTCTTTAATTCTATGAAAATTGTGATGAAAAATCCACAAAAGTAGTGCTTACCATACTAGTAGTAATGAAACCAAAACAGAAATAAATTGATAAATAACTTGGTTCCGATTTCCTCCATTTCATCGGGTTCAGTCTTTAATGCTCCCTTAAAGAGAGTAGTGCAGGCTCGTTTCCGAACAGCGGCTGCCAAATAAAATCGACAATGTACCCATAATTTCCCTGTAACTAGACGCATAGCTGCGTGAACTCGGGCTTTCAATATCGCACATCTGGAGTTATCTCTAGGGGACTGCCATATTGCCATTGTTGCTGTCGTCACGCAATTTCGTCATTGCCGGTCATGAATAAGTCTACTTGTGTTTATTTTTGTCTGCTAGAGTGTAATGAATGTTGTTATGGTACTAGACAACGATCAAAATAATATATTACCATATAGGAGTAGGTTCCTACAGATGTTAAAGGTTGAAATTAAAGAACTTTTCAATGCCAACATTACCTTTACAATAGATAGCAACTGCAGTACATCTTATTGTCAATACAAAATTGTTAAAATTTTCGGATATAAGTGATTGAAAGACTCTATCTAAGGAGGTACAGTACTGTGTCCTTCTATAATAGCTTCTCGATGAATAGTACCAGTGTTGCTTTCACTGTATTGAAGTTCATAGTCAGTCTCTAACACGTTTAAAAGTGTGGGTAATTCTGTCTGCATTAAAAATAATTGTCTGGTTAACTGAGACAAACTTGATACAACCGATTTCCAATATTCATTATTGACACGAGATCATCAGCAGAATTGATTCCTTGTTTGTTATTGTAAATCAAAGAGTATAAAACTCATTGTAACACGTGAATTTTGTCTAAATACCAACTCATTCGCTTGGCTATATGGTGCCGTTATTGTTTTGCTAGGGTCGATGTACATTGGAGTAGGACCAGGGTTTTTCTCGATATCTGAACTCAGTTGAAATTTACAATAGTTTGATACGTGTGTCTGACTCTTATTAAGACACATGGGTCTATTACAAGAGAACAATGATAAATACCGACTTGCTCTACACTTCAATTTAATTATCCTTTGATATACCCTCACAGAACAATTCAACAAATACTTCTTCTCCTGTTGTGTCACTTTATTTAATCTTACCCTCTTCGTATTGAGCTTACAAACCATACGCTCAAGGGTTCATTCTACGCATGCGCTGTAGTTGAACTGCGTTTTGTGACTGGCGCAAAAAAAAAAAAAAAAAAAAAAACGAGGCCGAATGTATACCTCGGGCGTTTCCTGAGTATTACACAAATCAAACTTAGCAAAGCATACAGATCAAAAGTTTACATCGGGCTATTATGTTGCGACATGAAGTAAGTAATGATCACAATAATGGCTTGTAATGCAACAGTTTCAAATTTAGAGGTATAAGCTTTTTTTGTCTCCTTACGAGGGTGGGACAGAAAAAAAATCGAGGGAATTTGACTCTTTTTGACCTGTCAATTCTCCATACGGTTGTCTTCACGTTACCAATGGTACTGACGAGGAGAAATTTGTTTGCACAGCCTTCGAGAATTTTTACAGTTGTGCCTCCCTCATTCCAAAGCCTTGCTGGAGAAAGCACTTAAACGGAACTCATTCCAATTCAACGAACAAAAGTTCTTGCAAAAGCATGGAACCGTCATGGTACCCTTCTAATACGGTTCCCAATGAGCCAAATCAGGATCAGATTCTTGATCACTTCGCAAAGTTAGAGTCAAGATTCGTTTCCCTTATCGTGTTTGTAATAAATCGGCTGTTTGATTTGTAAATGACAAAGATAAATAAAATCGACATATCACAGGCTTGTCGGTTGTGGCCATATTAACGGGGTGAAATTAGAACAGATTATGTAGAAAGTATTCTATTCTTTGGGACCTTAAAATGTGGCTTTTGGCCGTACTAACCGGTGACTCCATCAATGAGACTTTTTTTTACAAGAATATGTATAGCCGTTTTCCCGGGCCATGAAATAGTGGCTGTGTTACCGAGGTGACCGTAAGGCGTCGTTCCGTTGTACTCAGTTTAGTTAGCATGCAAAATGCTGGCTCTTGTAAATGATCTCACTTCAGGCGGAAAGCTCATATTCTCCATATGAATTTTAAATTTAAAGAACATGTTGGACTTCGGTCTTTTAAAGAGATCCGCCCCTGGCGGTTCAGCTAAGGAGTTACGTGGCTGAGGCGCGATTAGTTATTAAACGAAGAGACGCCCGTCTCTGCGTAAACCATTTCAATTTTTTTCCTGTCATGCTCTTATTTTATGTTTTTATCATACATTTTCATACAGTGTAACCTATACTTTCATCGTATTATTTAATTATCACTATTATTAAAATTACCGTCAGTTTTATTCTCATTATTATCTATTTATGGAGAGATTTGTTTTACAAATCGTCCTTATGGCTATAATCATTGTTATCAATCAATTGCTCTTCAATTGTAATAAAAGAATAAATAAATTTAAAAAGAAAGATGGTAATTTTTGTCCCATTACAATCAGATGTACGCAAATTTAAATAAAACAAAGTGTGAGCTCCCTTAAGTCCCTTGGGAAAACGGAACATAGAGACTCAAAAGACAAGAAATGCAACTTGCGTTACTCATCACCAACGTCACGCTACCTGATATCGAGTTCTGTTTTAAAAAATGTAAGACATTCTAAGACGTAGCCCATTTAGGTTAATTCTTCTGAACTTTTGCTAACCACGGAACATTGCTGGTAGCGGCTATGCGACTCGTTATTCGCTACGTGAGGAAATCAATTCCACTGTTTCTGACCTGCATTGCTTTTCTGTTCACAGTACGAATTTGGCGAGTATGGAACGACATCAATTTGAACGTCAATTTACAAGTAACTCTTTCTCCGGATGAGCTGTCGAAAACGCACTCAATAGAATCAAGCATTCAATTGGATGCGTTGGCAACTCATGCTGTAACCACATTCAATGATCAACTCCATACTCATCGCACTAGACTATTGAGCACGGCAATTTGCCCCAACTCGCTGTTTCTTCTTATTTTGGTGTCCACGAACGTTGGGAATTTTGACAGGCGCCATCTAATTCGCAAGACATGGGGCGCCGAATACTCGATCAAAACCAAGTGGAAAACCGTTTTCCTTCTGGGGAAGAACGACAAACACGATGAAATGGGCAAAGTGAGGAAGGAGTCCGAAATATACGGCGATATGGTTCAAGCAGATTATCATGAACATTTCTGGAACATGAGTTATAAAGTTGCCATGGGTTTTGAATGGTCTCTTAAATATTGCACTTTTGACTATCTTCTTAAGTCCGACGATGACGTGTTTGTGAACACTTTCGGTTTGATGGATTTTCTAAGCAAATATACGACACCGAAGAAAAAGTTTTATACCGGGAATCTTATGGCTGGAAGTGTTGTTTTGCGAAATGGCAGATATGGTGTCGCACCCGAGGAATACAATGAAACCATTTATAAGCCCTATTGTAGTGGTGGAGGTTATATTTTGTCACGCGACGTGGTGGAAAAGTTTCTTTCGTATTTTGACGTTTTTAAACCGCTCAAGATCGATGATGCTTACATTGGTATTTTGGCAAATAAAGCTGGCGTAAAAGTGACTCATAATAAGGAATTTCGTATGTATGAGAACCGTTGTGAATACAAGGAAACCACTTTAGTGCAGCATCCGGCGAGAGGAGATTGCGCGTTGAAGCTTTACAATAAAATGATCGAAGGTATATTGAATAATTAATGTTGGATTAGAATTAAAGGTGAATGTAGGGAATTAATCTTAATAACAATATAAGGAAATTTATTCTGTATATTTAAAAAAATTAAAGCTCATTTGAAGGCAGGTAATTAAAACACGTAAAAAATGGTGAATTTTTTTAACAATTAGCAACCTTCAGAGGTGTCTTTTGTTTAATGGGAGAAGGACTCAAGGATGGAAATCACAATTTTCATTGAAACAGCTTCTGCAAGACAAGATTTAAAGTGGTCAAGATTATTGTACAATGTAGAGCTTATGATTTTGCAGGCAATCAACAGCTTATTATGAGCATTATCAACTATTATAGAATTATATTTGTTTCACACATTTACAAAATTTAACTCTATTCATATTTATAGCTTAACTTTTTCCAAGCATTTAATTAGAGGATACAATAAAAAGGGGAGTAAAGAAAGGTAGAGATCTGTGGACATGTGAAAATTATTTCCTACCAAGATTTCCATGATTTTTGCTGTTTTTACTATTCTAATTTCTCCACTCATCAGGCATCTGTCATAGGCTATGTGACTAAGATAGGCTATACGACTAAGAGAAGTGTGAATGATCCAGAACTGGTCTGTGCCTATTATGTTATAATTAATTAACTGAGTAAGAACTCTGCTGGTTGCTCAGTCATCATTATAACTCAAATGTGACCAGTTGTGACAGGGTTTATTTCAGAAATATTTCAGGTGTTCATAGCTTTCTGGATCAGAAAGTAACTTTTTTTGAGCAGCCCATGTTAACAAAACAGAAGTTGTTAATCAAATAGATTTGTACACTGTTTGGTAATTTTAACATTTTTTAGTTACACTTTATTTTTACATAGATTTTATTATAAGAATTGTCTTTTTTTAAGTAAAAGACATCAGAGAGAGGGTAGAACATTAATTTTCTTCAACATCACAAACAATAATTCGCAAGACAGACTCAGGAGTGATTTAACAGTAACTGTTTCTTTATGTAAATTGTGGTGCATGCAAATTATACAGGAATATTATATTTACAAAGTGAATCTGTTCATAAGAAGGAAAGACTATTGTTATCACTAGTGACTAACATTACAACAACCTAAGCTGAAGTCATCATCACTCCCCTAAGGTTGTTGAAACCCCCACCTCCAACACTAACAACAGTTCTTCCTTGGACAACCCTCACCAACAGATTATGGAAAATGTTCCTTCTATTGATTTCCATGTGATCTCTGATTGGGATATATTAGGAATAACAATACAAGTCAGTCTACAGTAGCACTATTTATTAGAAAAACATATGAAGACACCTAAAGGACAAAGGATATGTATAAAATCCTAGACAGCCAAAATCAAGTCTTAAACGGTTTTGTCCATAATGTAAATGATACGGCATCTATACCTAAACTTGCACTTTCAGGATTTACTGTTAAAATGGGGTCTGATTTCTAACCTCATATCTTAAGATTGACACAGTTTTGAAAATCAACACATCTTTTGTTGCTTGGTTGTTGTTTGACGTGTTTTGCTATCAAGACCGGGAGGCGCGGATACTATTGTTTGGCCAGGCTACTGAGTATACAACATGGCGACGAGTTTGCAGGGTCGCTCATCGTCCATGTAATATTTTTATCTCTCTAGAAATGGAAGTGAGGAGATTTAGGAATTATTATTGTCACCATGCCAGAAAAAGTGAAAATAATAGAATGGCATCAGTTGGAAAAGAAAAAGTATTTTCTTTTTATGAACGTGTACATGTTAACTACAAATGCTGTGCTATTTCCGGTCGAGTTAGTGAAAACTCGACTCCAACTCCAGCGGACCAAAGCTCTTTACAAAAACACGCTGGATGTCGTTTACAAGACTGTGAAAAACGAGGGATTTTTAGGACTTTACAAAGGATTCCCGGTAAGTCAGTTCGGCGTTCTCACTGGACATATCTACGCTTCAAGCTACGAAATTTCCAGAGAACAATTCTCCACGCTGCAAAATGCAGCCCGCGGATTTTTAGCTGGAGGTCTCGCTGCTGCGTTAGAACAAACCTTTATAAATCCAGTAGATGTTATATGCCAGCGAATGATGGTCGAAGGGCAAGGAGAAAGAAATAAGCAGCGCGTTACCTTGAGATCTGTCGTGATTGTAAAGCGAGTATTGAAAGAGCATGGAGTTTTTGGCTTTTATCGTGGGTTTACGGCGTCTTTGATGGTCGAGGGGCTCTGGAGTGCCACTTGGTGGGCCTCTTATGGGTTCTACTTAGATATGATTGGGAAAATGGTTCCTGATGGAACGTCACATCTCGTTATCAAGGGTCTGTCCGGGATGCTAGCTGGAATTAGCTCTGCTGTGGTGGGTAATCCCATTGACGTCATTAGGGTCAGACTACAGGTGAGTTATGGGCTTGAGTCTTATTGAAGTGGAAAATGTTAGTCTCATCAACCTTTCTTTGTCCCATGTCAATGGAGCTAATGTGTGTTTAAGTTAGGTAGCTTCATTCAGTGAAACCCAGTCAACCAACATGACAATTTTGAAAGTTTTGACATATACCTTATTATTCTGACTGTTGAAGACCTAAAAGTTTAGACTTGATCATGGTTCAGATACTGCTAAAGAAGGAGCTATAGGAGAATTGACAAATGCAAACTTGAAGAGATAATTGGTTATATTTGGGACTTGTACTTGTTTTGGCAGACTTAGCACCAACAAGATAATTTGGGTTTATTAACTGAGTTGATAATGTGAATTAGTCACCATTAAGAGTTTCAAAGCTGACGTTTGGAGCAGTATCCCTTCAATATTTGCTCTGATGAAGGGTTAGCACTTGAAATACCTGCTTTGAAACTCTCTTTGGTGACCAATTTACATTATCGACTCGGTTGATAATACCAAAATTATCTTATGATACTCCCCCACCAACATAGCACCACAGTTTTTTTTTAGAAACTTACTCCCTTTGTTCATTTTGCACTAACTTACTTTTCTTCAATTCAAAACTCTCAGAAGCAAAAGAATGAAATAAAACAAAACGAAATATCTGTGAGCCAACTGATTCATAATATTTTCCAAAATGCCCACTGATGTTAGTCAGTGACTGAATAATCTTGTTATCTTTTTTATCCATTTTGGGAAAATCAGGTTTGAAAAATTATAGACATCACTGAAAATTTCCTCAAATGAAGGGAATAGGTATCTTAGTATTCAACCTCTTTTTCTGTCAGATAAATGTACTTACAACTTCTTTCAGGTGGAAGGAAGAAAGTCTATTTTGAGAACTCTGCATGATCTGCTCAAGAATGAAGGAGCTCTGGCTTTAACAAAGGGAATGTTTGCTAGTGCCGTTTCTGAGATGCCCTGTAGTGCTATTACAATAATTGGGTATGAAATGGTCAAGAAACTAAGCTTGAAGGAGAATTCTGTCATTGAATAATAGTGAAATAATATCTCTATATTGTTAACATTTTGTTGGGCATTGTGATGCATTTTGCAGGCTAAAATGGAGAGTTTGGTGTACTAAAACACTTGCATGCTGGTATGATTGTTCAGACTGGTTTTTTGTCTTTTTTTTTTTCAGTCCTTATTTTCCCAATGCCTTTAATATGATAATAATAGTAATAAAATCAAAACATTCTGGGTATGAATAGGTGTTGGCCCTTTCCAGAACTCATTTTAACCCTCACTTAACAGTTGTGACTAATGTGACTCTGAGTTGGGCCCAATACATATTTATGCCCACGAACATGAACTGTATGGCTGAATAGTGAGTATTTGTATTTGTAATGGTAAATGTAGTGTGCAAGTTTGAACAAGGGGCTCAACCTTTAAATGGATTAAACCCAGGAGTAAGAGTTAATTATGTAATCTGATTATGTGGGTGAGAGACTTAAGGTCTGTTATCAGTTGCAGTAACTAATGCTTTGAGAAATTGGAGTGGATGTCAAATACATCAAAGTCAACAAGTCATCAAACATTATTCACCACAGCACTACTAGCCTTAGTCTATTTTGGGACAAATTTCACCCAATTGATCAGACTGCACTATCAAGGAGCAAATCAAAGAAATGTATAAAACAGATGGCAAAAGTCTTGTTTGCCCTTAGAATTTTTAACCCCTGCCTGCCAGGTGGACAATGCTGCTCTTCATGCATCAGAAACAGGAGCTTCAACTTTTGCCTGTTAAAAGATGATGATATTGTAACCTAGCCATTTCACAGATTTGTATCTGGACTACAAGTGAAGAATCTTTTAGAATAAATGATAACATGTAATAATTTTTGTGTGGCTCTATATTTTAATTGATCCAAAATTCCATCCAAGGAAAAGTCAAGGTTTCACTTGATTCCTTTATTGTTGATGATATAAAGGTGTTACTAAGAACTTATGGACTAAATGATAAGTTCATGGGTAGCTTAATAATTACAATAACAAACTCAATCCACCACTCCACTCCCCAAATGGGGCAGTTTAGGGCCAACTTAGAGAAAGAAAGAAATATTTTGGATAAATAATTTGGTGATAAATTTCAACTTGGGGGAGGCAGATCAGATGAATATTTTTAAAGGGAAACCAAGAAGTTGAAGTGAGGGCAACCAAGAACAACTGTATATTCAAGGGGTGTAGCTAAGGGAAGATCTGGGTGCGCACATATCCTCCCTCAGTGATATATATATTTTTCAATTTTTAACAACATACAACATGATTGAGGCGGTAAAAAAGCTTGAACAAGAGGATTCTCCACGACATGAATCACTCATTGATCATCCGAAAAAATGCCACTCACAGTGAAGCACAGCGTGGATGTCTACACGACAGAGGGGTAGATACTCTTTGTGTGATACAATGTGGCCCCCTTCCTCTCCACCCCCGCACACCCTTTAAAAAATCCTAGCCATTCCTTTGCACTTCAAAGGTTCTTCTTACCGCACAGAGTAGAGCAAAACTACAGCAATTCTATATTTCAAAACTCAATTGAAAAATGCTCTAATGCGGAGGCAGTAGCTTTCTTGATGAAACATCGATCAAGACTAATTTCTGGAAACAGAATAGGAAGCAATTATGGGAACTCAGGCGAATGCTGCTTGAGAGAAAAAAAAAATAATAACAACATTACAGTTGTCGCATGTAGGCAAGGAGGGGCCTGGATTTTTGTTCTCCATTTTTCTTAAATCAAGAGTTCGCGTGACCTCCTCGAAAAGCGTGGGCTTGCAATAAACAATGAAGTAACGGAATACTCTCTACTTCGTCTCTTCGCTGGTAACCACGCTTAACAAGTGGGCAGATAGAAAGATTGAACCACGCACCTTTATAAATGTAGTGGAAAAAAGATTAGGTCAAAGGGAGTCGAATTAGTACAATTACGAACTTTTCCGTTTTTTGACGTAACACTGCTGATGATGTAATAATTGGAAGTCACCCTGGTTGTGCGTTACATTTCAGCGCGCTTTCGCGCAGATGTTTGAACAAGAGATTTGTTTAGGCAATCTTTTGTTCTTTCCTGGATGCCGGAGGAAGTCAAACAGATTGAGTGGCAGCATGTTGACAAGCTTAAATACTACACCTACGGAAGTGTTTTCTTCGTTGGAGTAAATACTATTTTATACCCAGCAGATGTGATCAAAACTCGACTGCAACTGCAGCGGACAAATGCTCTCTACAAAGGAACGCTTGATGCTGTTTTCAAAACCTTCAGATCTGAAGGACTTATTGGGTTTTACAAAGGATTCCTGGTGAGCCAAATGAGTGTTTTAACTGGGCATTTCTACGTGACAAGCTACGAAGTTTCACGTTCGCAAATGTCTTTCTTTGGCGATGGCACTCGAGGATTTGTGGCCGGTGGAGTTGCGGCGCTAATGGAGCAGTTTTTAGCAAATCCAATCGAGGTGATTTCTCAAAAGCTTATGATTCAAGGACAAGGAGAAAACAACACAAAACTTAAGGGAGCTCTTCACATCTCTGCAGACGTGTTTAAAGACTACGGTGTGGGTGGTTTCTACAGGGGATTTGTCCTCTCGTTAATGACCGGAGCATTGTGGAGCGCTGTCTGGTGGGGCTCATATGGTGTGTACATAGACATAATTGGGGATTACGCCCCACATGGTACATCTCATCTTCTAATCCAGAGTGTCGCTGGTGGACTTTCAGGGTTGAATGCAGCCGTCATTGGGAATCCGTTTGATATTGTAAAAACAAGACTTCAGGTAATCGTAGAAAAATCAAAAACGAAATGAATACAGATACAAATTACATTGCAACAGATATTACAATTTACTGTGGGGCACAATTCAAACTAATGACAGGTCATTTTCAAGTCCATTAATGCTCAGAAATGATTCTAAATGACTATTAAGGCTGCATTTTCGTTAAAATTCAAGTAATCTTTGAACACTTATGCTTTTAGGTATTTCAGGGCTGCTACAAATGATGGAAACAAAAAGGGCTTGCCCCTCTCTAAATTTATATTTGTGAGGAGATTTGTTAAAAAAATGTACCATTCTCCAAATGATTCCTATTCTGGACATTTTGAACGTCTCAATTTCGTTGCACACTTTGTAGAACGGCCCTACCAAGGGAGTCAGATCCACAGTGTGGAAGAGCCTTTTTTGGGCCAATATTTAAGCCTGATAGTTATTATTCCTCTTTTCAGCAAATAAGTTAGTCTGTTTGATTCATCTCTAAGGTTGAAGGTGGAAAATCCACGACCAAATCCTTTCAAGAACTACTCAAGAAAGAAGGACCAAAGTCATTGACCAAAGGAATGCTTGCTAGTATATTGTCTTGGGTTCCTTCAAGTGTTATCATGATAGCTGCATATGAAACTGTTAAGAAACTCAGCCTAAAAGAGAAATCCATTGACTTGTTTATTTAATAAGTACATGTAACACACTAAATCTTCAACAACTACTCACCTCATCAAAGCAAGGGTAGACCACAGGGTAAGGGGAGATTTCTGAGTTTTTAGCAATTGCTCAATTTGGTGCTTGTCATGTAAAGCATAGGAGCCTAAAGGACTCCTGGTATGTTTTATTCAAAAAAAAAAATTTCTCCTCTGCTGTGTCATACAGGTCAACCCTTGCTGCACTTCTATAATTATATAAATGTCAGAAAATGACAATTACAAAGAAAATATTAATTATTTCAACTTGAGAGACATTTGGTGCCCTTGCTATTGATTAGGAACAGTTCCAGCCATGTGAATTTACCGTTACATAATCTTTATGCACTCTTCAGCGTGGAAGGGAATCCTTTTACTGCCATTACATTGTAACCCATTTTAATAAAACAGTAATTCCACTTGTGTATATTGTATATTAGATAATCTGAGCAAAATCAAAACTACAATTACATTGGTTATCTATCAACTTAGGATTAATCTTCTTGCATTCTATCACAAATGCTGTAATCTGATTGGCTACATATAACTCACCATCTAATGCTACCTATTTGTCACACTGTCCAATAAAAGTTCATAACTTAAACATTAAGAATACATTTGTGAATAAGAGTTTAACATAACTAGTTTAATAACTTCTTCTAAATGTAAGTATAAAGAAAAACAAAAATTTTGAATAGCATGTAACGCACCTCTTACAGTTTATTTCACTTTCAAACATACCTGCACTGTGTGCTGTTAAATAAACTTTAGATTCATTTTCTCATAGAAGAAGGTCAACTGGTACATTGTTATCTCTGAACATGTTTGAACAATACATATTTGTGCCTCAAAATTTGTTACAACTTGGATTGACTGGTTTTTAAAGAATCAGACTTCAGCTTCACTGTCATCTTATTTTGTATGATTGGTATCATGTAAATTAATATAGAATAAATTAAACACTACTTGGTCTCATGTCCTTTACACAATAGTGAAGTTTTATGTTTGCTCTGTTTCTGGCATTACAGTGGGCATTCTGCATCAAGATCGGTTAACTTGACCAACCATTATACTAGTAAAGCTAACCAGCATAAGCAGACAGTTTTCAATGTGTATGCTCTTTGAGAAGTACTCTCATTTTTGTGACCAAATGAAGTCTGCTCATAAACTTTTAAATCATTACTTATTAAAATCATAATTAACAATAACCATTGGCAAATGTCTATAAATTAAATTTGGCTCTGTACAATTGACAGTTAATCATATAAATTACAATATAGAGTAGACAGTAATATATTTCTAAAAAGTTGTTTTTAATAAACTGAGATGTATTTTAGGTAAAGTGGCTAACTAAATCCTGCGCAAAAACAACAGCTTTTTGTCTTGTTCTGATCTCTACTGAATTGGTCATAACTAAATATACATTTCAAACATACATGTTTTACATAAGTCCATAGTTTTCTAAAATCTACAGACATCTTTTAACTTGAAACTTTTAAATCATTTTCTCAGCCAATGACTTGTTCTTTCTTATGAGGAGCTATTTGAGTGATGCTGACATTAATGACTGACGTCTCACAAACAATCAGTGGCAACATTGGCCATTTACATTGTTACAATTGCTGTATTTTAAAAATAACACAAGCAATAAAGGTTTGACACTATTGATTGATAATAAAAACCGCAATTGCACTTGATATTTAGTGCAATCAATCTGCCACAGAACACCAGTGATTCTAATTAGCGCTTTCAATAGCAGTCTCATGGGAATTTGATGCCACGACACAAGCAACTGAGGTTCTGCATTAACCACTGACCAATTTAGAATGGCAACTAGATTGATTTCCAATTTTTGTTTGTTACTAGCACTAGCAATTGAGATTTTTTACTAGAGATTCATATCCAGCACTAATGATTGAGATTTGTCACTAGCAATTCACATTTTTGGCGCAAATGGCTCCCAATGCCTTACAGTTTTTAATGTTTGGTTTGTCCACTCCATTTAAAATAGATGAACTTGGTAGTCCTCCTTCTAATCTTTTCTATCCTACAAAGCAAAGACCCCATTTTTATGGCTCATCATCCCTGATCTTGAACATTTTAGAAACATTCTTAAACTAAATCAAATCAACACCCCAGTTAATGAGGGTCTTTTTGGTAGGCTTGTTAAACTAAAAGCCAAAGGGCTGACTACAATTCCTGAACAAATAAATCATTTTCTATCATGCCATCTTCAATCTCTTCAATGTCATGACTACTCTCTGCCTCATTATCGTCATCATCGTCTTCATCTTCTCCATCATCATCATCATCATCATCATTATCCTTGTCAACTTCATTAGTATCTTCAAAATGGTGTGTGTTCATGGTATCCTCTTCTCCAGTGACATCACATGAAAGATGGGTGTACTCTCCTTCCCCTGCACTATCCAACTTAGCATCAGCTTTTGTCATTAAAACAAGAATGGTAGAAGCAAAATCAATGTTTCAATGCCAAATGATTGCACCTTGTAGAAGTGGAGTATACATAACCCTTGTCGTTTATAAAAGTAAGTTTATTTCACTTGGGTAGGGAGCTTCTAATAATTGATGATAAGGGTTTTTCATGGCTAATAGAAAGTAACAGTTTCAGGAGTTGATTGCTTCATCACATCAGCCTGACAAATAAAAGTCTTCACCAATATTTCTCAGTCTGATGAAAAAGTCTTACAATATCAGCATACAATGTACCTGTTGATTCCCTATGGGACTGCTCTAGTTTTTCCCTAGTTTCTTGCCACTTCTCAGAATAGGCTTGCTTTGTCTTCTGTGTCAGCTCGATGAGTTTTTTGAATTGATCCTGTGTCAAAAAGACAAGTATCTTCATAGCCAGACAAACATTATTGGGAGGTTGGATGATGCCAACAAGCCTGAGGAAAAACCCCTCAAAGGCCAACACAGTTTCCAATTTCCTGACTAAATTCTGGCATAATTTCTCTTTAAAAAGAAACCTTTAATACAGACTCTCTCTGTGGTGGACAAAAAATACTAAAGCTTAGCCCCAGGTGATGATAGTTTGTGTATTTAATGTACAGTCCTCTTTGCAATTACACAAACATCAACAGCCAGTTTACCATTCACTTGGCAAATAAATTATGGAGAGATGTCTTGTAGAATAGAATTTTAAAAAATGGTACTTTTTTAGGTGAAAGAGACAATTACAAACTGTCAGTGGAGTTTCAAAAGTGGTGTCACTATTGTGATCTCTACAAAGCAAAAAGCTCCCTAATGCTGACACCATTCTCAGTCCCTAAGGTTTTATTGTTCTATGAGTAAGTTAGTCTTTTCTAGAGTGCTCTCAAATTGCTAAATGTTTGCCAATTAGTTCCATGTTTCTGTCTGCCTGAACACTACTGGTAATTTGCATTAGCCTGCATAATCATGCTTCGTAAACTTTTACTTTCCTCACCTGTGCTCCATCATAGTTAAATATCCCACAAATGCTGACAGGAACCTTCTTCAGCAGTACTTTGCCTAGCAACTGACGCTTTAAAGCAAAAACCACTGGAATCTGATTTTCTTTGCAGTACATTATTATACTGCTAAGGGTGTCATCTAGACCTCCTGAAGAATATCATAATAGTAGTAATTTTATATCATTTCAATTATTGACAGATGTTTGATTTTAAAGTTTTCATAGTCAGGAATTTTTAAATGAACATCACAAATGACCATAATCTAAAGCCAGGTATTTGGGCATGACACAAAATCATTTCCTTCCAGAGGATTAAATAGGAAAGAAGTAATTTAATGTACTTGAGACAACAAATAATTACAGGGTGAGCATAATTTTTGCACCAGCAACCACTATTCAAGATATTTTCTTACTGTACAAAGTACAAAAAACAAGTCAGAGTAATTGCAATGAAAGAACTCCACATTCACAAAGGAGACGTAAAGCAAACATGCTTTATCTTTATTTTCAATTCCCTTGTTGCAGCAACATGAAAAAAAATGGGGTGGACATCAACAGAAGTCTACCAACTCAACTAACATCATTTGCTGAATTGCAAGTTTACTCTTTCATGTTATAAAACCTGACAATTGTTAGCCAATGCAAAAATTGCAAGAAAACTGTTTAGACAGTGAAATACTACAAGTTTAACCATAGAGAATGATGAATGATTTAACTTTTCTACCTGCAATGACTCAATGAATTTAATATGCTTTGAGAAACAACTTACCGGCAGATTTGATACGTTCCACATTTGAGGATATAATCACACATTTCACCCTCCTCAACTTGAGGTGTTTGCTGACCTCTCTAAGGCCTAGCACAAATCTTCTCTTTGCTTTGGCCTATAAAAGAAAGTCAATATCTGCAATTAACCCTTCACACCCTAGCATCCATATGTATTTTCCCCATACTGTTTTCTTGACATTTCCGATGCTAAAAAAGAGATTTTGTTTAAAAATCATGAACTTCTTTCGTTGGCGATCATTTCTTTTATTCCTGTGACCACAAAGTGTGATTCAGGGCTGAAACATAGAGGAGAAATTAGATACAAGTGAATCTAAGTGTTCAAAGGGTTATATCATCAGAGTGGAAAAATTTACCTTCACTGGATCCTTGTGAAACTGCCTGTCTTGAAAACGCACAAGTTCTCTTAACAGTTCAGTTGCCACAGAGTCCACCTCCTTATCTGGAACTTGAAAGCAATACCTGAAAAAGTAAAAATCAACTGCATACATGCCATGGAACAAATTGTTTTTGGGACCATTACGTGAAATCAGGAAATGCATTGAAAGGAAAGTGAATTCATTTTTAAAAGTGAGACAGTGTAAGATTCCTTAGAGGATTAGTACACTATCTGTTAAATTAAGTACATAACTTATAACAGAATTATTAGCAGAGATAATAATGCCAGAATTATTTTATGCTTGCATAATTGACAAGGTGCACCTAGGGTGCAATTCAATGCCTGAAAATATTAATACCACACACTTCCTTTTCTAAAGTTTTCTCATTATCTTGTAATTGTGTTTATGAATATAGGAAATGGTTTTTGCGCATACCTGTTGCAGTTCAGATTTTTTCATGGTCCAGGATAACCATTTTTGAACCCAGCTTTATTTAAAATGTCTTTTCTTTCAGATTTTTTTAATCAATAGAGTACCAAGGGGAATAAGAACTACAACATGGCTATAATGATGGTAATAAGGAATGAAAGTGTCAAGCAAAGGGTATCAACCATGAATGATGTCATAAAATGTTTTCATGAGTAACATAAGACATTTTGTTGATAGAACAAGAAACCTGATATTTAGAGCAGAATCAGTGACTTTGATTCTAATTACAAAATGGAAAAATGCATATTAACTATCATATAACTACTTTTCCTTGTTCCTAGAAATCCAAAAATGTGTCTCAACATTCAGGTTTGAATTGTTTTAAAAATTTAAACAAAATAAACTATTAATAATAACTCAAGAAATTAAAAAATAAGACAATGTTTTTTAGAAATTCCAGGCTTCCTGTTCTTGGAATGGCAAGTACATGTGTACAATAGGCACAAATCCAAGTACTTTTAGTGTAAGAATTCTGCAAAAATAAATCACAATCTTACTCTCTAAAACGACGGCTGTGAATTTCAGCGGCTATTTCTTGATCTGTAGGAAAAGATGCTTGTGCCCCAGAATTGTCATCTAAAAAGAAGACAGGCACTATGTTTGAATAAAATAAATTCACTCTGAATGTTCAAGATTACATTGTAAGCTACGTGTAAATTAATGATCATGTATACAGGGAGAATAAATAAATAAATTTATTACTTCACATTAAGCTTTATTGTCGGTATAACAAGGAAAGAGAGGGAGAGTATGCCATTTCAGATCTTCCTCTTAAAAATGCCAAGATATACTGAAAAGTATCTGATGACAAGCACACAGACCTTTTTTTAATTTTTGTTTTTGTGATGTGCATTTGAATAATTTATGTTTGTATCCTCCAGCTCTGTTTTAGTATTTGCTGTTCTTCACCATATGGCTGGGCCACTTGACATGACTAGCAATCACTCTGTCTAAAATGGCTGTACTTTCTCAGTTAGCAAAAATTTAACCTAGAATCAATATTCATGTATTTACCACTAATTTGTTTTAAAAAGATGGCTTCTGTTGTTTTTGTTGTTGTTTCTGTTGATGAAAAAAAAATAATAATAATTGTTAAACCCTACATACTAGTATAACACTTATATACAATGGAGGGAACCCTCTTCTCCTCTGCCCCAAACCTAAAAATCTCACATCAGCTTCTATCTTGTTCATTGCCTTTCACAACATCATATGCATGCACATTATCCTGTATGTCTTGCTGCATCAAAGAAACATTGTTCTTCCTTGGTATTTCATTATTTCACTGACCAAATTAGACTTTTCTCCTCAAAGTAGAAAGACATTACCTCAAAATCACAAAAGAATAAAAAGCTAGATCCAGACTTTTTTCAACATTAAAAATAAATTTGCCAGAAGTCATTGGTCTGAAGCATGCCTCCATTTTATTTATTTGTTTTTTTTTTTTTTTAACACATTACTCTACTACCTTCTGATGGACTTTGCATGTCTTCCTCTAAAGCAGCATTCTCAAATTCAGAGTTATTTGTCCTAAAAAAAACAAAAA